AAAATAAATATATGTGTGCAGAGGGGAGCGTGGGGGGGCAGTCCCAGATAGCCAAGATTGCTGCCAGAAATGCCTGACTTTCAGCAGGTGAGGCGGGAGGGGAATTTCCACCATCCAAAACAAACATTCCCAGTGTCCGTACACAAGATAAACGCGATGTCTGGATGCTCACTTACATGCAGCCGACGCAGGCAGCTCTGACTCATTTCACCATGATTCAGCAGAGATAGAACAGAGCACACACTTCACATTGCAGATGAAAGCATGATTACATGGTCTCTGCCTAGCTGTAGACCCCGTCTTCTTTAAAGCGAGTTTGACAAACAGTTTTCTAATGTTAAAGAATCTCTAATAGACTTGATTATGTGGTTTCCGACACCCTTTTACACCAACTAGCCACTTCATTGAGTCCACCTCCTTGTATCTACACTCACTATGCATCTTATCAGCTCCACTGACCATATAGGAGCACTTTGTAGCTCTACAGTTACAGACTGTAGTCCATCTGTTTCTCTGCATACTTTGTTACTCTGTTCTTCAATGGTCAGGACCCCCACAGGACCCCCACAGAGCAGGTATTATTTGGGGGTGGTGGTCATTCTCAGCACTGCAATGACACTGACATGGTGGTGGTGTGTTAGTGTGTGTTGCACTGGTGCGAATGAATCAGACAGGAGTTTTTAAACACTGTGTCCACTTACTGTCCACTCTATTAGACACTCCTAACTTGTTAGTCCACTTTGTAGATGTAAAGTCAGAGACGATAGCTCATCTGCTGCTGCACAGTGTGTGTTGGTCATCCTTTAGTCCTTCATCAGTGGTCACAGGATGCTGCACACAGGACGCTGTTGGCTGGATGGTTTTGGTTGTTAGTCCAGCAGCACTGCTGTGTCTGATCCACTCGCACCAGCACAATACACACTAACACACCACCACCATGTCAGTGTCACTGCAGTGCTGAGAATGATCCACCACCTAAATAATACCTGCTTTGTGGGGGTCCTGTGGGGGTCCTGACCACTGAAGAACAGGGTGACAAAGTATGCAGAGAAACAGATGGACTACAGTCTGTAACTGTAGAACTGCAAAGTGCTCCTATAAGGTCAGTGGAGCTGATAAAATGGATGATGACTGTAGGAACAAGGAGGTGGACTGAATGAATTGGCTTGTCAGTGTGTATAGTAGCTGCATTTTAGACCAGTTCTGAGGCCCAAAGTTGCCTAATATTGTTTTTAATCATCATTTAACATAATAATAATGGCATTTTAGTGCACACTCCAGTGTTATGGCTTCTTATGTACTAAGGCTTATTATTCAGTAACTACAAAGACTTCATTGCAAACAGGTTGAGCTGTTGTTATAGATGACTGTAATAAAACTTCGGGCCTGCTGTTGGGTCCTGGCCATTTACGGGGTTAAGTCTCACTGTGTGACTGTAGGCATGACACAATTGGTTTCCATGCCACATATCAACAATCTAATGGTCGCCACTCAGCTTTTTTGCAAAAAGTTAGTCTAGAAAAGAGAGCAGATAAAGAATGTGCGGCAGTGGTTTGATGCGCCAGTTATGATTGTATACTGTCTGTTGCCTCATTATAGCTCATTATTATGACATGTTTGATGTAAATTATTTTTTAAAAACATTAAATAATTTACGTCACATGCTGCATAAAATTTCAGCACCCCAACTTATACTCTCCTGCATACCTGTCTATTAAAGTAATGTAATATTAAAGTTTTTGTTATTGTTAAAAGTGGCATTGCTGAGTCAGGAGAATAAAAACAGCCTAAAATATGGTATGCTTATGACACTTGAAATTTCAGTCTGAGAAAAAAACACCAAAAAAATGAATTAGGAGGGCCAAACTTACTGCAGTAAATAAATTAAACCTTTAGTTTTCAGCCCTACGTGTGGGACTTTGCATGTGAGTTTTGCTGCGGTCATGCACAGTCATTACTGCAATTCTCCTGCAGCTGCTACTGATCACATCCACCTACACCTGCAGAACATAGTGCCGTTCTTGCCTTCACCTGCCCGTTTCAACAACACGTCATGCTCATCTGCATCCGCCTACCTTGGGCTCTGGTTGTTGTCTGCACTTGCCTGCGTTTAGGTTTTTTAACATTTTCCAAGGGTGTAGAGCAACCCACACAACCTCCACCACACAGCAGAGCGGCCTCCAGACCCTTCACACTTCCCCAAATCAGCCGCAAACATAACCACGCAGCTTGGCTTCGCGTAGCTACTTTTTATCTGTATCAACATCATATTGTTACTAACATATCTCCAAAAACGTAGCTTTACGGGAGAAGGAAAAACTTCCTTACCTATTAATGGAAGTTAATGGAGAAGTTATTTATTCCAAATAATTTCGGACCATTTCTGCTGCAGCTTGCAGCTTATTTGTTGCTTGTCTGCTTCCACAAGCAGCTAATAACTGTCCAAACCCCCTACCCACAACCTGTTCATTATGACTGTGATGCCTCAAAATCAATCCAAATTATTTAGTGGATCACATGGGTAAACCTGCCTCATGCAGACCCCTACAGCTACATACAGTTTAGATAATAAGTATGCTATAGTGGACTAGCTAGTTTAGCTGATGTTGGCAGCAAATCCAGCTGAAGTTTTAGTGAGTTACACATCACAATCATTTAATATTTACTAAAATTTCAGCTAGATTAGCTATTGCGCTGACCAGCTAGCTTACATGCTATAAACTATGGACTAGCCAACAGTGTGAAGCTGTTTTGCTTCTTTTTGCCGTATTTATTGTGTATAGCAATTACTGTCTTTCTGTAATGAAATCCTCTTTATTTAATGCCGTGTTGAACGTGACAGTGTTAAGTAGGTTTACTTTTGTACAATGCAAAGCCGACAGCTGATAACGACCGTAAACAAGACTTGAGACTTGCATGATTCGACTTGTGAACATGTCTGTCCTGCACGCTGGTGCATGGTGACCAATACTTTTAAAACGTAGTGGTAGCTGAACCCAGAATAAACTCTTCAGTGTGTTCAGTAACGTAGTCCATTACAATGTGTAAAAAGTAATATATTCAGAAAACATCTTAGTGATAATGCACATGGGAAAATTTAAAAGGCTAAGACTAATAACTGATCAGCACACTGGTTTATCAGTCTATTCAGGCTTTAGCAGAGCTCAGTAACACTGAGATTAATAACTGATCATCACATTGATTTATCAGTCTACTCAGACTTTAGCAGAGCTCAGTAACACTGAGATTAATAACTGATCATCACATTGATTTATCAGTCTACTCAGACTTTAGCAGAGCTCAGTAACACTGAGATTAATAACTGATCAGCACATTGATTTATCAGTCTACTCAGGCTTTAGTAAGATCTTCAGTGTTTATAAAGAAGCCATTCATTGAGTTCTTCTTTAGATTAAGTCTTTACACACTGTGCACTGATATTAAAATAATTAATAAACACTCACTGATGGTGTTTCTTTTAAGGAAGGTTTAATTTTTTTAATTTAGTGGGTGAGCATTCTGAAAGTATTCTCCTAAAGTGTAAAAAGTAACTGTATACTGAACACTACCTTTAACAAATGTAACTTGGACTGAATACAGGTACTTCCCAGTACTTGTCTACCAATAATTCTCAACCTTGACAGTGCTGCAATCAAAAAACAGAAGACATTTCAAAAACAGAGCATAACTCATCACATTTTGAAGGAAGATTAAATCAAGGAAAAGAAGAACGTAGTCTTTAAAAGTGCCCATATCATGGAAAACTGAATTTTCCTCACCTTTTGATATAAAAGAGTTTTATCTAGTTTATAATACTTGCTAAAGTTTCGGTGCATACTGTTCACTCCTCAGAACATACAGTTCATATCTGTACACTAGTCTGTTTTGAAATCAATTTTTCCATGATGTCACAAAAAGTCACTCATTTACATATATCCACCTATCAGCCTACAGTAGTTTAGCCCCACCCACTCACACTGAAGTTATAAGTTTGTTTCATCTTGGACTCCTTTTTAACTGAGGGTAGCCAATCAGAACAGAGATCATTAACATTGATTTTTCAATATTTCAGTATAATTTAATGGTTAAGATGTAAACAAAGCCATTCAGAGTGGTTTGGTGTAAAATGCTGTTTTAGAGAAACTTACCGAGTCAGAATTGTTCACAGTGGTGGTGATAGGAACCAGACGTCCTTCTCTAAATGCTCCCTCACAGAAGATTATTACATGAAATGATTACGAATATGAATTTGTGATAAAGTTTTGGCCTAAAACTAATTTGAATAATTTTATGTTTAATCCATTCATGGTAAAGGGATACATGAAGGGCGCTCTAAGGTAAAATAGTCCCCAAAGAGATCTTTTTTTTTTTCAGATTGAGCACTATTTACCCATCATCAACATTCCATATAAAACTCAGAAGACACGTGTAGGTTCACTGGTGGTTTTGGATAGTTAGTAAATGTCTATATTTATGTTGTAGTCATGGCGACCCCTGGTTCCTATCACCACCACTGTAAAGTAATCTGAAGCATTGCACACCAAACCACTCTGAATGATTATGTTTACATCTCAACCACCTAATTATGCAGATATGTTGAGTTCCCCTTTAAAGGCACCAAAAAAGATCCTGTTTAATAACATTATAAGTGGACCTGGGGGGGGGGTGGATTATAAAATGCAAGAAAAATGTATGATATGGGCCCTTTAAAATAAATGATATTATTTTTAATATGACCAACTAATAAGGTCTTTTTTGACTTCAGACTTTAATAATGAAGTGAATAGCAGTAAATTATTGATGTATTATTGTAATATATGACCAGGTCTTTTCTGAATTAGATGATAATATGGTCCCTTTATATAAAGAGTGATTGAAGATGCAAAGCAAATTATGAACGATGACTCAAGAATTATGACACCAAAGTCACAAATCATAAAGCAGATATACAGCTGTGCAAAAATAAAAATTTTTAAAGCAGGCAACGTAGCTTTGGGATGTGGAATTATGACTGTTTTTAATTGTTATGGGTGAACGTTTAAAAAGTGTAAGACAGACAAAGTAATAATATTATGTTGGAGGCCTTTGGCCCTCATGGTTAGATTCAGCTATTTGTTATGCAAATGCATTCTTGGCACACTTCCAAGCTGTAATGTTTTTTTTTCTCCATCGCTGGAGTGCAGATGAACCACCGGCTGCCCCAGCGCTTCATCGTAAACTCCACTACAATGCAAAACGCGACACAAGGCTATATAGCGATGACAAAACAAGAGTACAACTCCAATCTGCATTATTATATTACATGTGTATGGCTATTGAGCGGTCAGTCATTTAAAAACCGTTTCATATACAGGACATTTGTGGCTCTTCAGTTTCTTCAGAGCCTTCTTGACCTCTTTGCTAGATTTGTCCCACTTGTGGATTCCAGTCAGTAGGTACCGCTTCCCCGCTTTACGGCCCATGATTAGGTAGGTGTTGCCCAAATTTTCCAGTTGTTGGCAAGGACAGTCTGCTCCATTCTTCAGATACAGCACCAGCTTCTTCAGCTCCTCTTTATTTAGATTTCCAGACACTGTTTTCCTCCTCTTCTGCAGGATCAACTTCTTATCCAAGTTCTCTATCTTTGCTTCCTTTATTTTGGTTTTGATAGCTGTAATGGAAAAAGACAGCAGTTAGTCTGATTTATTTGAAGTTTGGGACATGACAGCTGTTTAGTTTTGTAGATAGAAACTTCAATATTCAGATAATTTTGCTTTTAGTGTCACTTTTATTCACTTTGTTATCTATTTGTATACGTTTTTTCTTCATTTTGCAAATGTAAACTGTAACTGTATAGTTTATTACCATTGTTGGCAAGTCATAAAATGTTACTACTGAGAGAGGCATTTACCAAAATAGTTTCCAGTGTAAATATTTAGAATATGTAGAAAAACATAACTGAAATCACCTTTAAAAACCACACCATCTCTAAACAGGAAAATAAAAAATGCATGCTAATATTACATTTTATGCCCTTTAAAACACTTCAGTCGTTATAAAGACGTTTCTAAAGAATTTCACAATCCCTGTTCTATTACTTTGCCATGAGTACACTGAAAGGCTGGCTGGTTTTGATAAATGTGCTTTATGTCTGAGCCAAGATCTCGCTCTAGTTTATGCCTTTCAGATGCCGTTCTGTGTTAATTGTGCGGCGCCGAGTTGTGAGATGTACCATATTCCACCACCTCAAAGGATTTACGAGGGTAAAATTCTTGGTCGAGAGACAAATTGGAGAATATGCTGGACAAAAGTATTACTTCTCAGTTTAAATACCATGCAACAACAACAAAAAACAATTAACAAAAAGAAAATGAATTCAGAGACGCCTTAATATTGAGCCCTGAGGCATCCCTTGATGCTACTTCAGGCCATTAAACTATGGTAATATTTCTGATATTTTGAATGATGCCCATACATAACCAAACACACGGAAGTAAGCACAGTCTTGGGGTCGTCAATATGATGATATGTTATCTTCATAATGAAACACATTTGAGTCGTGAGTATCAGTATTTTCAGCACTTTTAGAATAGTGAACTGCATTAGGAATCAGAAGGACAGATTTAGACTGATTGTAGGGAGTCTGTAAACAACAACAGCCAATCTTAATTCATTTATTTATCAATGGAAAACTAAATTTAAAAAAAAATAGTTTGATGTAGCATGTAGTATGTAAACACTTCAAAAGTTTCACTATGTACTATTCACTTCCCATCCATACAGTCCATACATGGAGCTGCAAAAGCAGCCTGGTTTGATTTAATTAAGTTTATGATGTCACAAAAAACAACACATTTGCATATCCTGCATATTTGGCCTACAGCAGTTTAGTCCCACCCACTCACACTGAAGTTATAAGGTGTGTTTCAGTCTGACTGCTTTTTGAATGAGGCACAATGCAGGGCAGCCAATCAGGGCAGAGGTCAGTTACATAAATCAGTCTTAAAAGCATAAGGGATAAAAGAGAGGATGTCAAGGACTGTTTTTGAAACATAATATAACACAAATGAAATAAAAAAAAGAAAAAAAAGTGGTTTATGGCTAATTTAACAATCGTATGATTTTTTCATCTGTTCTTTTTTTAACAGTTTATTTTTTCAAACACTGAAATAAAAGAGATGACTGTTTTTCAGCTTTTTGAAATGCGATGCTGCTGTTTTGCTGGTGAGTTTTTAGCAATGTTTTGTTCTGCGCTAAGCTGCACACTTTGCCAGTGTTTTTCTATGACTAATTTTTCATTTCTGTTTTATTTCTGAGTTCTTTATTTTATGTTCTATCAGTTGTACAGCACTTGCTTTTAAATGTGCTTTAGAAGTAAATTCGACATGACTTTGATGTCATGTCGTTGCCACATCGGCCACCCATAGCACAGTACGCCGGACGAGTGTACCAACATCAAGCATGACAGCCAGTTTTGATTTGTTACGGCCGCACAGCATGACACGCAGCTGCAACAAGACACATTCGAAAAGAGGCAGGCTGACAAAATGCTGGAGCTGATATGGAAATGCGTGCTGTGGGGAAACTTGAGGTCACCGAGTCTCAAACTGCAGGACATCGACCAGTGTTTTTTTTCATTTTTCATGGATTTTTTCATTCCCCTGGGTTACATCTTAGCATTAATGACTGTCATCTGGTATCTTGTCATCACCGTTATGATCCATTGTGATGGGAAAACCATGTGCTGCTGAGATGGATGAAAAAATAAAAAATTGCGTTTTTACCAATATATCTGTTCTGCCAGCTCTGCCATTAGAGTATAATAATATTTCATGACCGATTGTTACAACAGATGATCTGGGAACGACACCATCAACAGTTCATTGATGAGCCCAGTGCTAACGTTATTCTTGTGTTAACAGTCATAACTGAGGCATTAAGCAGTTGTGATGGATGGGAATTAAAGGGTCATATCACAGAAAATATGCATATACATACACTAAGCTGTAAAATCAGCCTGTTTTATAGTCATTGTTTTTGTGATGTCACAAAAAAATACGAATTTACCCACCTCACATCACTTTTATATCCTCCTATTCAGCCTACAGCAGTTTAGCCCTGCCCACTCACACTGACGTTATAAGGAGTCTTTCATCCCGGACAGCTTTTTGAATGAGGCACCGCCAGTCAGAACACAACTCATTTACATATCTCAGTCTTAAAAGGACAATAACAAAAACAGCCTGATTAATTAATGGTATAAAGAGAAGCTGGAAAGTGGGCAAGTAAAATACTTGCCGTGTTCCCCTATCATTAAGTAAATCATTCATGCTTCCCTTGTTCATTAAAGTTGCGTAAAAAAGAGATTTGACCCCTGTTAATGACATATATACTACTCTGCATCTGATTCTTTAAACTTTCATACAGCATGAAATGAATGCAGATTTGAGTCCAATCTGCCTCAGTGCATGAAATCAAGTGCCAGCCTCATTTACATATCATTAAAATGAAGCATGTCCTAATTCACGCAGATATTTCACCAATCAAACAACAACATTCAGCAGCTCATGAGCCAATGGCTGTGCTTGTGGGCAGAGTTTGAGGTTGAGCAGTGAGTGCACTGCTCCCCCTACAGACCAAACTTTATAGTATTAAAATTACGACTACAGGAAAGAATAAAATGTGAAATGTGAAAAAACACCTGTTTTTTTTAAGATTATAGTCTTTTGTGATTGTGTAGTGTGATTATTTTCCTAAAATATCATATTCAAACACTGTATTATTGCAGTAAATAACACTAGCTGTGTTGTGTATTGTTAATTTTGTGGGTGGAGTATAAAACAAAAGCATGTTGTAATACAACTATAAATGGAACCTGCTGAAATAGTTGCAGCATTTGTTTTTATCAATCAGCATGTAAAATAAGTACATCCACTTTTGTACTGGGTTGCCATGTGCACAAATTATTAGCATTATTATGATTTTATATTTTTATTCTTATAATTGGAATTATAGATGATACTGATAATATTTTTGGTTAGTCAACTGCAATCTAAACTATTATACTTAAATGTACGTGCACTCCTACCGGATGAGAGTTTAATTGTACAGATACACCAAAGATTAAACTGATGAATAACAAAACTGTTGGTAAAATTTGTGTGTGCTCAGATTTGATCACAGAATTTCTTGGTCTTTATAGAAACAAAGGTTACTAACTGAAATATGGTGTCCTTGATATGTGCATGATAATGAAAGCTGAAGCGTGATGCTTCATCTTTGCCGTTTTATTATGAGAAAACCAGCGAGAGCGCCCCCTTCTGGATGTTTGCAGATGTTAACAATCAGCGCCTCCTATCATCTTCAAACTCTAATCATCAACAGCAGATCTATTCAAGCTTTCTTGACTTGACAGTCCAAACAGCATTTAGTGTAAAGACCTATTAACACCATTCTTATTACGTTTCTATGGAAATATATGCAAATTAGTCTTTGGCCCAGTGTGAAATGTCCAGCGTTTAGCAGCACAAGAATTCCTCTGATATAAATTAATTGACTAAAAATGAACTCTGAGTCAATGACAGTTGCACTTCTTGAACACAAACGTGTAGAGAATGTAAAACGTTTGTGTATTAATATGTACAGTGAATTCACTGCATTCTTAAAAATAATTTGCACATTTTCTCCAGAATGTACAGTAGCAACACATACAGTTGCTCATAACGTTTACTTACAGACGACAGTCTGTGCAGACTTACAAACAGCTCGCCCTGTCAACAAGCCAAGAAAGCTATTGTCTGAAAGAAAAACGCTCCCTGGGTTTCGTCGCAAAAGGTCCCATGAAATTGTTGCCGTCAGCAACCGTACTCAAACTTCCTGACACTGACAACGTCTCAAAACCTCTGAAAAAAAAGCGAAGGAGAAAGAAATAAAAAAGAAAAAGGCCTAAGCTCCATCCACATCACTGCTCCTTAGTTACTGGAAGTGCAATGGGGGCCGTGGTCGTGCTTTTCGTAAACCAAGAAATACTTGCATTTCTGGTTTCAATCAAATAATCCGCAGTGCATGTCACCGTGACCATGTTGTCCTGTAACGAGAGGGGAAACAAACTTAATCTATTCGAGAAGTAAATGCGAAGAAAAAACAACGCCTTTGAGCTCCGGCCACTTGGGTCGCTTTAAGGAAACCACTGGCAGCGAGACGGCAAAAAACGCACCAATTCGAAAGTAAACAGCGGTGCCACACGGCCCTGCGTGTTTATTCTCTCTGTACACAGACGCGCCGCTGCGCTGAAGGGCCACATGTCCGATTCACGCACCCCGCACCGCTCCTGCTGGGAGGGACCTCAGCGACCTCACTGAGGGCTCAACAGGCCTCAGTCAATGTATTCTAAAGAATATTACCAGCGAGCAAAATTATTATTGAAAACAAATGTGCGTGGAGGAAACTCGGCCAGGCACAATGACTGTATGTGAAACAGCAGATGGAATTTTTGATATCTCTGACATTTGTCTTCCAGTTTGATCTGTTTTGAATGTTTCCATTAGTAGCAACATGCTGAAAAGTGCTCAGGATGAAGAACATTCTCAGTTCACAAGTTACAGCCTCTCGCATTTCTGTATGCATTAAACAATATTAGATTATTATACTGCTATGAGTTGAAATATGGTT